TTGGCACATGCCAGTCAGCATTACTCAGGCCGTAAGCATAAACTTGTCGCCAGCAAAGTCTCCCAACCTTCTGGAGCTGGCTTTTACAATACCGAAAATAAATGGGTTCGTACGGGAACCAAATATGTGCCCAAAATCGATAATGATGGACGCTTTGGTATTGGGAGTTTGTTCAAGGCTTACCCTGACGCGTCTGATGAAGGAGCTGCACCTGATACGACTACACCCACAGATACTATTGCCAAAACTGCTATTAGTCCAGATGGCCATGTTAAGCTTATTGCTGCTGGGCCAACTTCTAAAAAAGTTGTGGCAACATCGTCATATTGTGAGATATGTAAGGTACATGCAACTTCTGAGGGGCAGATGACAATGCATTTGGAAGGCGTAAAACACAAGAAAAAACTAAAATCTCTAAGTTTGGAACAATCTATTGCACAGGCAAAACCTGTTTCAATTACGCCAGTTGCAACCAATTCCTCTGATACGATATTAGAAAGCCTAAAGCAAAGCAATCCAACCGCTGATTTGTCTATGTACCGGACTCCAAGTGGCTCTTATTACTGTGAGTGTTGTAATATATCCATGTGTCATGTCGCTGGTTTACAACAACATCTGATCGGCAAGAAGCATTTAAAAAAAGTAAACGAAGTTAAAGAGAAGGCAAAGAACGAAGCAGCAAAAATTAAGAACGAAGCTAAGGTATAAGCTGAGAAAAGGAATCAATTGAATATACAATAAATGGATATTCTCTTAGCGATATTTCGCATTATATAACTATATACATAAGCGCTTTGAACGTTGTGCATTCTAATTTCGAATACATATATCACGATGAAAAATGTTAATAACATGATGAAAAAGCGTTCATAAACTATAGCAAAAAATGATGTAAAGGATCTTTTTAGGCATTTTGGTATAGTATCAATTGAATGTACTATGATGAAATTTATAATGTCAACTAATGTATCGCCGGCACATATTGTAACAATACTAAGTACATACATTAGAATGGAAACATATATGTCTATCCCTAAATATACATCCATACTTATGTATCTATTTACATATATACCCAAGTATACATATATATGAAATAATAAATACTTGAAACAAAAGGCTAAATAAAATAAAATTAAAAGCCTAATATGTATTAGCAATACTTATCTTATCATTACATTTATTGGTACCTGCTTTTTGACCAGCGGCGTTTTAGTTTTCAAACAAGTTTGCTCTAATTATTATTAGAAATGTTTCTGAACGAGTATGAGAAGTATTGGAGTGGTAGTTGATCTATATTTTTAAGGTTGTGAAATTTCGAGTCGGCCTTAAGTTTATTTGGTGTATGTATTATCCATTTAAAAATACGTTCTTGCCTACAAAATCCTCTTCACTATACCTAAATTAGTGGGACCACTAAATATGTTAGGTTAGCAGAAAAAAATAGCTCAAGTGCTCGCCAGGTGGCGCGGGCACTCGGTTCTCGAAAATTCTTGGATGCATGTTTTGTTACAACTGTACAAATGGTACACAGTGCAGTGAGTCACAGCTGCACAGTGGGTCAATTTGGTAGCTATTTTGTCAACTACAACTCTTGCTTCTCGAAAATTGGTAGATGCACGCTTTATTGCAACTGTACAAACGTTACAAAGCAGAGTTACAGCCGTACAGTGCATTAATTTGATCATAATCTAATTTGCAAATATATATCAACCACCATCCCTGTATTCTCGAAAGCGCAGAAGCCTCCAAACATTGGTATCAAAGCAAACACATTTTATTTGTCTATACTCATATATNAATCATAATCTAATTTGCAAATATATATCAACCACCATCCCTGTATTCTCGAAAGCGCAGAAGCCTTCAAACATTGGTATCAAAGCAAACACATTTTATTTGTCTATACTCATATATTTCTTCTGCTTTATTTGTTAATACAGTTTTACGACCTAAAATTTTACTTATGTAAATTAAACCTGCCGTTTGCCCATCTCCGCACACCAATTTCTCGCCAAAGCAAAACTTGAATTATGGTCAAAACACTGTGAGGTTCCATACCGCTCGCGCTTACTGCAACTCTTTCAGAAATGTTATTTCAATGAACAATGAAAAAGAAGTGGTCTATCTAATATTAAATGCTTTCTTTAGTTTTCATTCATAAATTAAAATTAATTCCATACAAACTGCTTATAAAATAGTGTAAAGTTAAAGTATTGGAAAATGTAAAATTTATAATAATGGATTAGCGATCCATTTAGTTGCAAGCAATCTTGAGCGGCTTTTGTTATCGACTCGCTCACGATCAACAAACTCCTCGTATAAACAAGCTGAAATTTTAGATTTTCGCCGATTTATTTTGGAACAGCACTTTCTCTTCGTACATGAGGGTTTTACTGTCACCATAGTAATTACTTCAGCATATTTTGGATGATACTTATTTTAACTTCTTATCATCTTTGTGTGTACTTTGTTTTTTGTTTTAAAATGATTTCTTTAATGTTTAAGTGATTTTATTATAGATTTTCTTGGTTAATTTCAAAATTAATTTCGACCTCCCGTCTGCTGTTGGTACACTTCAATAGTGTCACCCTCCTCCATCTCCAATGATGTTGGTGTATCATTTTCGTTTATTGGCTGGCCATCGAAGCGAAACCGTACTACTTGCATGGATAAACCCTACATTCAAAATGAATGAAGGAGTTTTAGAATTTTGCCATAAACATGTATTTTATAAATTCAAAATTTACCGCTCTGTCACAATAAGCGTTCATAAGCTTTCTCAAAGGTGTATGTTTTTTAATTTTGAATTGGACAACAGCATTGTCTTGACCCAAAACTTTCAGATTGATGTGCTCTGTTTCACCCTGCAAATGAAAGAAAGATAAAAAA